ATTGTTACATGAATCAATATATATCAACATATTTAGTTACAGCCAGAGCATAGATTACATACAAGTGTATTAATGGTGTCATCTATGACGTGTACCCAATTATGTTCCTTTTGCATTATCATGTTAGTTTTGTCACTGGCTTGATGGTTCTGAACCAGCTGTGACTTGCTGTACCTATACTTGAACTATAGTCTAGTTTTTAACCTTTTTTGTGCCCTGGAACCCTTCGACCACCTGAGGAAGCTATGGATTCCTCACATTCGAGTTTTTAAATGCATAAAATAAAATACATAGGATAATAAAGAAAACCAAATCATTGAAATACAGTTATGAAAATATTTTTAAACACAAATTCACATACCCCACATTAAGACTCTGCCAATCTAGGCTGACCATTAGCATCTTTGGACCAATAGACCTGCATTACTAAACCTGAGTGGGTAGATGGCCTAACCCAGCACTCTCAAACACTATGGATTGTCTTGGTCCTGGTGGGGGGCGCCTTCATAGCTGAAGCACTGGTCAGAAAAGATTAAACTCTGGGGTCAGCTCTTCCCTTGTCTGAACTTACTCTGCCTCAGTTTCACGTGGTCAGTGAGAGGTAATACAGCGTCCTCTTTATCTGAATCATCACCTTTAGAGGTTTCGGCTGGGGCTTATTGTTGGCCAATCAAGAGAGCCAGAGTAATTTGGGTTTAAGGAGTGGTCCTTAAAAAAGAAAACTAGCCCATAAACCTCAAACTGCAAGGTTTCAGCGATCAAAATTTATATTCCTTTAGGAAGAACACCTGCAGGTAAGTGTATGATTCCCTATGTGGACAGAGGAGGGGAGGAAGGGAGGAAGGAGGGGAGGAAGGGAGGAAAGAAGGAAAGAAGGAAGGAGCTGTGTTGCCTAACTGGAATTGTCCAGTTGGGACCCCAGTGGGCCAGCTACTACTACTCACAGATTGTTGATTGTTCTTTGTCCTTCGTTCTTGAAGAGGACCATGACATGGGGAAGGTGATGTCATGACAAAGTAAGTGGATTGGATTTAAGTGAAGGCGGGCTGTGCAAAGTCACCAGCCTTACTCTCTTCTCTAGAACCATCTGGGTCCAGTGGCAAGACATAGATAAGTACCACTGGAGATGGCTCTGGATGCAGTGGGAGATCTTGGCCTTTTTAAGCTAAAGTCTTTCCCAGGTCTCAGGCAATTCCTATTCAGTGATTAAGGCTAGATAAGAAAGCGGCAAAGAATGGACTCTTTTACCTAGTTTTCAAAAAAATCAATCTGGGAGTTGAAGACCCTCAGGGTTTCTGGCCAAAACAGAAACAATTTCTATTTTTTTTTTTTTTTGGCTAGGCAATGGAGTTAAGTGACTTGCCCAGGGTCAGTGTTATGTGTCTAAGGCCAGATTTGAACTCAAGTCCTCCTGACTCCAGGGCCAGTGCTCTATCCACTGTACCTCCTAGCTGCCCCAACAATTGCTATTTACACTCACTCTTTACCATTAGATTTTTTTTAACGAGGTAAAAGAGGCCATTCTCTGCCTCTTTCTTATCTAGCTTTAAGAAAAAAGCTACTGCAACCTGGGCCATCTCATGATGTCCTAATCTCTATCTTGCCACTAGACCCAGATGACTCTGGAGGAGAGAGTGAGGCTGGTGACTTTGCACGGCCTTCCATCACTTGAATCCAATTCACTTGCAAGTCATGGCATCAGTTTGCTGATGTCATGGTCCTCTTCGAGAACTAAGGACAAATAACGGCAGCAATAACATCTAGCCTTCATCACTGAATGGGTGTTGCCTCAAACAAACTGAGACCTGGGAAAGACCTTAGCTTAAAAAGGCCAAGGTTTCCCATTTCATCCGGTGCTGTCTCCAGTTGTCCTAGTCTGTATCTTGCCACTGGACCCAAATGGTTCCAGAGGAGAAAGTGAGGCTGGTGACTTTGCACAGCCCTCCCTCACTTAAATCCAATCCATGTGCAAGTCATGACATCACCTTCCTGATGCCATGGTCCTCTTCGAGAGTGAGGGACAAACAACAAACATTTTGAGGTATTATTATTTGATATATTTTTAGGTTCTGAGTGACCTCTGGCTGAAGACCTCAACACTCTTTCCCAAGGCAAGTTCCTTAAAATTCAGTGTCCAAACTACCAGCACTAAGCTGTTTTCTGGAGTACATTTAGTACATGAGTGGCCATACACCACAACTACAACCTCTCTGGTGACTTTTTTGTACCAATTTATGACCCCTGATCCTTGGAATCTTTGCCTGTCCAAGTGGAAACATTCTGTCAAAGGTCCTCTTTCTCATTAGGTTTTCTCTGAGTCCTTTGAGTCTAGGTGACCAGGGGTGCTCAATTATTGCCTTGTTTCTGTTGCTCAGACACAAAGAGATGTTCCAGAATGAGTCAAAGTTGCATTTTCCTGTGTTTGATTCCTCCGTTTAGGCCCTGACTGCTCTCCGTAATTCCATAGCTCTCCTGTAGTAACTGTGCTCATAAGTCATCCATTTATGTTCTTATAGCATAACCAATTGTGTCCTCACCTCCCTGAAGGGTTATAGATCTTTGCCCACGTTTCCCATGGAAACCTGGCATCTTCCTGAAGAGTTTGAAAAAGAGTTAGTAAGCTGGAATGAGAGTGGGTGAAAGGAGTAAATGTAAAATAAGTCTGGAATGGAAGTTGAAGTCACATTATGAAGGTACAGGCTGAGGAGTTTCACCTTCATCCTGTAGGCCATGGCGAATCACTAAAGACTTTTCATCAGAGGAGTAGCATTCAGTTCAGCAAATATTAAGTGTCTACAAATGACCAGATGTTACGCTAGGTGCTGGGAAAGAAATACAAAATTGGACCAGTTCTTGCCCACAAGGAATTTAAATTCTATTGGGGAAATACAAGATGTCATAATAAATGCAAAGTATATATAAATTAACTTTAAGAGGGAGAGAGTGCTACTGTGGTCTAGTTAATACTCCACATGTGACATAGACTCATGGCCAGCACATAAGAGCAATAAATATTTGTTTAGAGTTGGTATTCACTTGGACTATTAGAGGCAGATAGGTGGCACTGTGGATAGAGCACCAGGCCTAGAGTCAGAAAGACATGAGTTCAAATCCAGTCTCAGACACTTACTAGCTGTGTGTGACCTTGGTCAAGTCACTTAACCATGTTTGCCTTAGTTTCCTCATCTGTAAAATGAGCTGGAGAAGGAAATGGCAAACCACACCAGTATCTTTGCCAAGAAAACCCCAAAATGGGGTCATGAAGAGTAGACATGACTGAAATGATTTGAAAAGCAACAAATTCACTTGGAGTTTTAATACATATTTAGGGTCACATATGAAAAAATGCTAAGGGGTTTGAATTAGCTCCACATGCAATTTCTGATTTAGCTATCAGGTGGCACTCTGCTTGAGCTATTTTTCTAGGTCTATCCTCCAGACCTACAGCATCTCTTCTACTCTCTACAATATTTCAAATATCATTGACAATGACGCCTACCAGTTCTTTCAGCAATCATAGCTACCAACTCTTCCAGTACCCGAGAATGTAGTTCATCTGGGCCAAGTGACCTGAATTTATCAAAGACAACTTCTCCTTACTTATCTTAAGTATAAACTACCAATTAGTCATTTTTTTTTTGTTCTGTCATTTTCCATTCCTCAACCCCACCAGCACTGGCAAACTGGATCCTGTAATATATGCAATAATATTATTAATGATTCAACTTTGCAAAAAGTTATCTCAAAGGGATTTGGTGTGACTTATAAAGAAAGTACACTTGAAAATATTGACTGTTCACATGCAGTCTAGAACAACAAGAATGCTACTTTTTCTCTAGCAGACCTTGCAAACTAGAGCATCCAAGAAGAAGAGTACCACGTGGGGGCGCAAAGCCAAGATGGCAGAGAAAGGCCAAGAAGTTGCCTAAGCTCTCCCCAGTTTCCCTTGGAAACAACATTAAATCAAGGCTCTAAATGGATTCTGGAGCAAAAGAACCCACAAAAAGATGGAGTGAAACAATTTTCCAGCATAAGATAATTTAGAAGGACTTCAGGAAAGGTCTATCTCACTTGGGTAAAAGGGGAGTGCAGCCCAACACAGGTGGTATCTGGGCAATCTAGTGGGAAGCTCTTAGCCATAGCACAGATCAGCAATGATGCCCCTCGGTCCTGGCTCAGCAAGCCATTGGCACAGCCAAACAGATGTGAAGTCTCTAGCCGCAGCTCAGAAGGCAAATTCCCAGCCCCCAAACCCTGGTACAACAGGCGCATCTAGGCTGCAAGCACCTGAGGCCCCAGCACAGAAAGCCCCCAGCCCAGGAAGCTTGGGACGGTGCCCCCTGTGTCCCAGGAACAGAGCTCAACTTTTAAAAATGAGCTAAGAAGTAAAAAGAACCCTGACCGTAGAAAGCTACCACGGTGACAGGAAAGATCGAAACAAACTCAGAATAGGACAGCAATGTCAAAATGCTTATATGTGAAGCCTCAAAGGGGAATATGAATTGGCTTCAAGCCCAAAAAGTCCTCTTGGAAGAGCTCAAAAAGAATTTAAAAAATCAAGTAAGAGAAGTAGAAGAAAAATTGGGAGAAGAGCACCATTGTGGAGAATCTCTACAATGAGTCCCAACAAATGTAAGGTTATCCAAATATATTCCAGTTGAGCTCCATGTGTAAAACAGTCTTTGGGCTTACTTGCCCAAACCATATCAGCTGTGGCAGGTTGGGTCTCCAGAGGAGTGGGTTTGAAAATTTTCCTAATGCTGCCTAATAAGACTCCACTATATCATCAAATGAGACAATATTTATAAAGTATTTAACAAAGGACCTGACACGTAATAGGTCCCTAATAAATGCTTATTCCCTTCCTTTCCATGTCCCTGACAGCATGCTTAACAATCAGCCAGTAAATTCAGTTAATTATTTTTTTTTCAGCTTACTCATTTTAAAATTTTTGTTAAATTAAATTTTTAATTTTTAATTAATTTATTCATTTTGAACATTAAAATATGGAACACTTCATGAATTTGTGTCACCCTCGCAGAGAGGCTATGCTAATCTTCTCTTCATTGTTCTAATTTTAATATATGGGCTGCCAAAGTGAATACCAGTTAATTCTTTAGCAAAGGCATTTACTCAAATGACATAGTAATGATAATAGTTACAAACCATTTCCCCTAAAACAAGGGGGTACACTCTCCCACAAATGCAGAGTCCATGAGGAGAAGAGCAGATATGAATTTAATGATATAATTTTGAGGTACACATGTAGGGAACATATATGGCTAACATAACTTGTAATTCCGGAACTGTAGGACTTTAATGTCCTTTCTTACTTTAGAGGACCCTCATGGAGTTCACTAGAGGGCATGGTGTCAGTGATGGATGAATTTTTTCACTGCTCAGTTAGGTTGGCTCCTAGAAAAGCCATGGTATCTCCACTGGAAAGGTGACTCAATTGGACTTACTCCTTATGGGATCCAGCGTCTTGTGTGGACTGATAAATCCACTACTGTCCTGGACCAGTCAAGTTTCTCAGTCAATAATTTACTATTGGACCAGGCCAGGCAGGTCACTCAGATGTTGGGCAGCTACTTCCAGGTTGGACTGGGTAGGACACATACGCTGGGTTCTTCTGAGGGCACAGGGCTACACTGGACAGATTGATCCACGAGACTCCCTGAACTTGCTCTTCAATAGGATGTAGTTGTTGTTTTATTTTGTTTTAAATTTAAATTTATTTTCTATTACATTTTGAGTTTCCAGTTGTCTCCCTCCCTGCTTCCCAACCCCACATTAGAGAAAGCCAGCATTTGAAGTACATATATATATATATATATGTATATACAGGACCATATATCAATTTTTTTCTCTGAAAGTAGATAGTTTCCCTTCATAAGCCCTTTGTAATTGATTTAAATGATCATATTACTCAAAATAGCTTAGTCATTCATGGTTAACTCTTCAAACAATATTACTATTACAGTATAAAACATTCTTGGTTCTGTTCATTTCATTCTTGATTATTTCCTGCAAGCCTTTTCATGTTTTTCTAAAACCAAACTACTCATCATTTCTTACAGTACAGTAGTGTTTCATTACAATCATATTATTCAGTCATTCGCTTCCCCTCAATTTCCAGTTCTTTGCCACCACAAAGAGAGCTGCTATAAATATTTTAGAACATATAGGCTCTTTTCCTTTTTCCCTGATCAGACAAGGAAACAGACCTGTGGCATTGCTGGGTCAAAGGGTACTACAAGTAGTTTTATAAATCTTTGGGCATAATTCCAAATTGCTTTCCAAAATGGTTGGATCAATTCACAATTCCATCAACAGTGCATTAGTGTCCCAATTTTTCCACATCCCTTCCAACATTTGTAATTTTCCCTTCTATCATTTTAGCCATTCTGAGAGGTGTGAGATGGTACTTCAGAGTTGTTTTAATTTGCATTTCTATAGTCAATAATAACTTTGACCATTTTTCCATATGACTATATGTAATTTTGATTTATTCTTCCAAAAACTGCTGTTCATGTCTTTGGATCATTTATCATTTGGGGAAAAACTCACGTTCTTATAAATTTGACTCAGTTCTCTATATATTTAAGATATGAGGCCTTTATCCAAGAAACTAGATATGAAATTCTACCCCACCTCCCATTTTCTGCCTTTCTTCTAATTTTGGCTATATTGGTTTTATTTGTACAAATCCTTTTTAATTTTATGCAATCAAAAGTAGCCACTTTATATCCCACAATGCTCTCTATCTCTTGTTTATTCAAAAATTCTTCTCATTCATAAATCTGATAGGTAATATGTTCCATGATCTTCTAATTTACTTATGACATCTCCCTTTATGTCTAGGTCATGTATCCATTTTGACCTTATCTTGCTAAATAGTGTAAGATATTGGTACATACCTAGTTTCTGCCAGACTGCTTTCTAGTTTTCCCAGCAATTTTTTCCAAATAGTAAATTCTTATCCCAAAAGCTCAGATTTTTGCATTTATCGAACAGGAGGTTACTATAATAATTTACAAGTGTGTAAAAAAGAGTGAAAAAGTTGTATGCAGTCAGATGACATCAGTTCTTTCTCTGGAGGTGAATAGCATGTTTCATTAGGAGTCTTTTGGATTGTCTTAGATCATTGTGTTGCTGAGAATAGCTAAGTCATTCACAGTTGATCATCGTACATTGCTGTTACTGTGTACAATGTTCTCCTGGTTCTTCCCACTTAACTTTGCATCAGTTCATGTAAGTCTTTCCAGTTTTTTTCTAAAATCATCCTGTTTGTCATTTCTTATAGCACAATAATATTCCGTCACAATCATATACCACAGTTTGTTCAGCCATTCCTCAATTGATGGACATCCCCTCAATTTCCAATTCTTAGCCACCACAAAGAAGAATTGCCATAAATGTTTTTGTACAAATAGGTCCTTCCCCCTGCCCTTTCAAAAAATCTTTTTGGGATATAGAACTATCAGTGACATTGCTAGATCAGAGGTATGTACAATTTTATAGCCCTTTAGACATAGTTCCAAATTGCTCTCCAGAATGGTTGGATCAATTCACAACTCCAACAATGCATTAGTGTTCCAATTTTCCCACATCTTTTCCAGCATTTATCATTTTCCTGTTTTGTCATGTTAGCCAATCTGATTGGTATGATGTGGTACCTCAGAGTTGTTTTGATTTGCATTTCTCTAATCTCTTACTATCTCTTCTTAAAGGGCTATGTTGGTGACATATAGAAATGCTAATGATTTATGTGGATTTATTTCATATCCTGTTACTTTGCTAAAATTATTAGTTTTTTCAACTAGTTTTTTAGCTGAATTTCTAGGATTTTCCAAGCATATCATTAAATTATCTGCAAATAGAGATAGTTTTATTTCCTCATTGCCCATTCTATTTCCTTAAACTTCTTTTTCTTCTCTTATTGCTATTGCTAACATTTATGGCACAATATTGAATAGTATTAGTGACAATGGACATCCTTGTTTCATTCCTGTTCTTATTGGGAAGGCTTCTAGCTTATCCTCATTACAGATAATGCTTGCCAATGGTTTTAGGTAGACGCTTCTTATCATTTTAAGGAAAAATCCCTTTATACCTATGCTTTCAAGTGTTTTTAATAGGAATGATTCTTGTATTTTAGCAAAAGCTTTTTCTGCATCTATTGATATGATTTTGTTGCTTTTGTTATTGATATAATCAATGATGTTAATAGCTTTCCTTATATTGAGTCATATTCATTAGTGAAATTGGTCTAGAATATCCTTTCTCTGTTTTTGCTCTTTTTGGTTTAGGTATCAGCACCATATTTGTTTCATAAAAGGAGTTTGGTAGGACGCTTTCTTTGCCTATTATGTCAAATAACTTATTTAACATTGAAATTAGTTGATCTTTAAATGTTTAGTAGAATTCACTTGTAAATCCATGTGATGCTGATGCTTTTTTTCTCAGGAAGCTTATTTATGGCTTATTTAATTTCTTTTTCTAAATTAGGTTTATTTAGATATTCTATTTTCTCTTCTTCATTTTACATTCAGTTTATATTATTGTAAGTTTTCTTCCATTTCACTTAAGTTATTAAATTTATTGGCATAGAATTGGGCAAAACAACTCCTAATAATTGCTTTAATTTCATTTTCATTGGTGGTTTATTCATCCTTTTCATTTTTGATATTCATTCATGACTTGATATTTCATTTTGATTTGTTTTTCTTCTCTCTTTTTTTAAATCACATTAACCAATGGTTTATCTATTTTGTTGTTTTTTCATAAAACCAACTTAGTTTTATTTATTAATTCAATTACATTTAATTTTCAGGATTTCCAATTTTGTGTTTAGAGATTTTTAATTTGTTCTTTTGCTAGCTTTTAAAATTGCATACCCAACTTATTGATCTGTTATTTTATTGATGTATTTAAAGATAAACATTTTCCTGTGATTACTGTTTTTGTTGCACCACATACATTCTGATATGTTGTCTCATTATTATCATTTTTTAAATAAAATTGTTTATTGTTTCTATGATTTGTTCTTTGACACACTCATTCTTTAAGTTAGATTATTTGGTCTTTAATTAATTTTCAATCTGTGTTTCCATGTCCTTTATTAAATGTAATTTTTATTGCATTATGATCTGAAGAGGATACATTTAATATTTCTGCTTCTCTGCATTTGACTATAAAGTTTAATGCTCTAATATATGTTCAATTTTTGTAAAGGTGCCATGGATTGCTGAGAAAAAGATCTATTCCTTTATGTTTGCATTCAGTATTCTCTAGATATCTAGCTTATCTAAGATTCTATTCATATTATTTACTTTTTGGGTTAGATTTATCTAGTTCTGAGAGGGGAAAGTTGAAGTCCCCCACTATTATAGTTTTGCTATTTCCACTCATAATTCATTTAGCTTTTCCTTTAAAAATTTGGATGCTATAGCATTTAGTTTAGCATATAGCATATGTGTTTAGTTTTGGTACTACTTCATTATCTATGATATCTTTTAACATAATATCATTTCTCTGCTTATCTCTTTTCATTAAATCCATATTGGCTTTAACTTTGAGGTCATGATTGCTACCCCTACTTTTTTTTTTACATCAGCTGAAGCATAATACATTATACTCCAGCCCTTTATTTTTATTCTATGTGTGTGTCTCATTTTAAATATATGTTTCTTCTAAACAATTGGGGTCTGGTTTTTGATCCATTCTGCTATATTTTCACTTTGTGGGTGAGTTCACTCCATTTACATTCAAAATTATAAGTACTAGTTGTGTATTTTCCTCCATCCTATTTTCCTCCACTATTTATCCTTCTCTGTCTCTGTCTCTGTCTCTTTCTTTTTCTCCCCTATCCTATCCTTCCTCAGAAGTCTACTTTACTTGAAAATGAGAAGATCAGAGAGGTCAAGGAAGTCTCCAGGGTGGGAAGGCAGCTGAGGCATGGTGGTGAAATCCAGAGAGTCAGAAGCAGAGGCATGAAAAATGCTCAGCCTGGGCCCTTTCTCAAAAGGAAGTCCTTTTCTAGGGCAATGACCCTTACTCTAGAATTGACTGTAATTTCTCCTTTCTGGTTGCCTCAGAGTCAT